TTATATTTAGCATTCTTGGATCCATATTGCAGCATACTATAATGTAATATTGATCCCAAAAATAAAAAAACTTGTTAGATGCTATTATTTATCGTATTTATGTTTGTAACACCATTATTTGTGCGCAGGTTTTCATACTCTCTGTACATATGTCTTTTCCGAATACCTATTTTCGATCATGTTGTCTTCTATTGGAATCAAAAAAGGCCCTCGCATAACATTATCCGAAGTATTTATTTACTTGCTCATCAAGCTATTAGACCCTTAATCCAACAACTCTTCCAGAGATACCTGTCTACCGTCCTAACTGGGATGAATTTACTAAATTCCCTAGCTGTATAGATTTAATTGAGGAAATGGGAGCCCATCATGTGGGTCTTTGTAAAATAATTCCCCCCAAAGAATGGAAACCTAGAAAAGAGGGATATGATAATCTAGATACCTTTTGCGTAGAAAAACCCATAAGTCAAATCACGACTGGAAGTCTAGGAATTTATTTACAAGTAATTGCATTTTATCATTAGGTCTAATTTTGACAAAAAGAATATAGATGTAAGAAAAAGCATGAGTTTAAAGGAATTTAAGAAGCTGTCATTCACGCCTCTTTACCGTACTCCCTCTTACGAAGACTGGGACCATTTGGAGAAAAAGTACTGGTCCTCCATTTCATTCTGCCGTCCTTTGTATGGAGCTAATATTTCTGGATCAATAACTGATTCTGGGCAAGAAACTTGGAATATTCAAAAACTTGATTCCATTCTTTCTTTTGTTTTTGAGCAAGAAAATATCAAAATAAAGGGCGTTAATACACCGTATTTGTATATTGGAATGTGGAGATCTTCGTTTCCTTGGCATGTGGAGGATGTGGAATTGTATTCCATAAACTATCTGCATCATGGGTTTCCCAAACACTGGTACGTTATACCCCCAGCTTACGCCAGAAAATTCGAGGCCTTTGTTAGAGGTAATTGTCTTCCCTCTGATATCCTTCAAGAACATTTTAGATCGGAATTTCTTCAATGCCGGTATTTTTTGCGGCATAAATCTGTTTTAATCAATCCTCTTGTATTAGCCAAGGCCGGGATACCCACCAGGAAGGTAATATTTGTACAACTTTTGATAAAATTTAGATTACTCAAGAAAGCAACGAAATTATGATCACTTTTCCATACGCTTATCATGCCGGATTTAATATGGGATTCAATATAGCTGAATCTACAAATTTTGCCTCGCCACGCTGGATAGAATATGGTAAAAAGTCTTCTCCTTGTCAGTGCTGGGACGACACTGTAAAAATTTGCATGGACCCATTTGTTAAGCGCTATCAGTCTCATCTCTACGATTTTTGGTTACGAGGAGAAGATCCGATTTCACATCCTTTAGATGATTATTTGCCTTTGCCAAGCTCGCCTCACTTCTCTTTTAAGAGTTTTTTATCTAATATTACTATTGCAACTAGCGAATCAATTCAAGTGCCCAAGTCAAGATTAAGCATAGACTCCAAAAAAGCCCGAAAAGTTGAAATTTCTTCCGAAGAAAGCTCATTTAATAAATCGGATGATTCAGAATTTTCACCAATTAAAGCAATCTCTGATTCTATTATTTCTCCTGGTCAAACTTTTTTGTCACCTACGCAATTTCGGTATCCAGAAAAAGGTTTGTTTCAATTTTTAATTTGATTTTGCCAACTTTTTTTTAGCTATTTTTCACTCACGTCTTCCAAGTTACCTTTCAAAATATCCTAAATTTATTCCTTTATGGTGCTGTGAAAAACGGGATATCAATACTGAACGTTGCTATAACATACGCATGAGCAAATTTGAGCCTTATTGCTGTATTTGTGCTTTTATATGGACGCCAAAGGTAATTTTGAACTTCCAGTTTATATGAGTATAACATAATACATTGATTTTAATAACAACGGTCTTAATAACATGGTCTTTACATAAGTATATTAGCTAAGCTCTTAGCATTCTATATAATTGAATATGCGATCTTGAAACAACGTAGCCCTGAGTCTCAAAAATACTCAAGAGGCAATCTTAGCCGCTCACTACATTTACGTTTGGCTCTTGGTTGTCGCATGCAATTTTAAATATATGTATGATAAAATATAGTTTTACTTTGGAGAATGCAGAAAAACTGGGTTTTGAAGAATCCATTAATAGATTGATGCTGGAGAAAATTTCATTTCGTTTGAAGAAGCGAGTGGAAAGGATTCGTGAGTTGGTTCCACCAGCGCTCGGTTGTACTTCTTGTTCCATCCCCCCTCTCTCTAAACCTATCCAACAGCCACAAGTAGTTTCCACTTAACTTCCTAAGCTCATTCCTTATATTCAGGGTGTTGGCTGTTTCGTTGATTTCTATCGCCTCTCTAATCTTTCGCTTACTGGTATAGTCTCCGTACTAAGCTGAGCGTTTGGCACTAGACCAATCTATCTGGTGTCCTGTACGAGCCATGCGTTCGGTAAATTTCGATTTTTGGACGCACATACCTTTGTAGGCTGTTTTGTTTTAGAATAGCCTCTTATGTATGGGTCTACAGATCTCTCCCATATAGGCATTACCATATGAACACAAAATCTTGTAACATCCCGTTCTGGAGAGCTGGTCAGAGTATTCTCGAAAAGAAGGCAATACTGAGGAAAGTGTTATTTTCTCCTTATAAATGGTCTTGATGTCCTACCTTCTCAGTAATTT